AGAGAACAGAATAGGATTCAGAGTAGAATAGAATAATAAAATATGAAATAGAATAGAATTCAGAATAGAATAGAATAATAAAATATGAAATAGAATAGAATTCAGAATAGAATAGAATAATAAAATATGAAATTGAACAGAATATAATAGAGAACAGAATAGGATTCAGAGTAGAATAGAATAATAAAATATGAAATAGAATAGAATTCAGAATAGAATAGAATAATAAAATATGAAATAGAATAGAATTCAGAATAGAATAGAATAATAAAATATGAAATTGAACAGAATATAATAGAGAACAGAATAGGATTCAGAATAGAATAGAATAATAAAATATGAAAGAATAGAATTCAGAGTAGAATAGAATAGAATAATAAAATATGAAAGAATAGAATTCAGAGTAGAATAGAATAAAATAATAAAATATGAAAAGAATAGAATAGAATTCAGGATAAATAATAAAATATGAAGTAGAATAGAATGACAGTTGGAGGGACCTTGGAGGTCTTCTAGTCCAACCTCCTGCTTAAGCAGGAAACCCTATATCATCACTGAAAAGGGCCAAAATATAGGAGACAGAATTAGCCACTATTAAGCCAGGATCCCTCTGATTTTGGTGTTCTTTTGGACTCCTCCAGCAAGTGAAAAATGGGCTCAGGGGGAAAAAAACTAGGACAACTTTAATACTTGCGGACTTCAACTCCCAGAATTCCCAGCCAGAACTCCCTATAGCCTCTGCAAGCTACTGGACATTCTTCACATCAGCCCTGCAGGGTAGATCAGTCTTTGGATCTCTGATTGGAAGACCAGAGGGAGAACCTCTCATTCTTAACCCTGTGGAGAAATGTTGCTGCATTTAAACACACAAGCCCATGGAAGCAAGGTTAATTTATTTCATTTTATTTATAATTCGATCCTGTGGCCAAAAACCCAGGAACGGGACAGGACGATCAAAATGTGGATAAAGGTTATGGGTTCTTCATCGCTGGATATTTTTAAGAAGAGATTGGACAAGCATTTGTCTGAAATGGTCCAGGGTTTCCTGCCTGAGCAGGGGGTTGGACTAGAAGACCTCCAAGGTGCCTTCCAACTCTGTTGTTCTGTTATGATGTTATCCTTCCTTCCTTCCTTCCATCCTTCCTTCCTTCCTTCCTTCCTTCCTCCCCTCTTGCCAATAATGTTCTCTATTGAAAAGGCGATTAAACATTTATTCAGCTATTCCAATGGAAGGGAGGGGACCCAATTCCCCCCCCCCACGGCCTGCTTCCATGGCAACGCCGATACGGGTTGTCGTGGCGAGAGATGCAAGCATCTCCTGATTAGTCACTGATCCGCATCACAGCCCCCAAAGGCCACCGTGGCCTCACGGGCCTTTAGCCAAGCCTTTGAAAAGCCCCACGGAGAAAGAATTTAGGCTGGGTCCTGGCAAGAGAAAGGGAGGCTCACCGAAATTGGGTGGGGGGGGCATAAATAACTGGACAGCCTGGGGAAGTTCTTGAGGGTCCCCATAGACCCCCACCCTGCAAAAGCAGGTTGAAAAAATTGGGGCTAATACGAACACCGGTTGATGGTGTTGGAGGGGCATTGAGAGGTCATGTAGTCTCACCCCCTCCCTCGTCCCTACCGGGAAATCTAAGGCTTGGGAATGTGCCAATGTGAATGAGCCGATTCGCTTCTCTAGATATTTTGCCCCACTGCGAATTTTTTATTTTGTGTATGTATTTATTAAATTTGGACTTCGATTCCCAGAATCGCCCTGGCCGGTATCAGAGGCCAAACCCCAGGTCCAAATGTGAAGGTTCAATGAAACTGATTTATTGCCATCCATAATCTGTGCACAGGAATCTTCTCAACTATAGATAGTCCTCAGCTTCTGATCTCAGGTACAGTGTAGGTGGTACCTTGCTCAGTAGTAGTAACTGTGAGAGGGATCTTGGAGTCCTAGTGGACAACCATTTAAATAGGAGCCAGCCGTGTGCAGCAGCTTCCAAAAAAGCCAACACAGTTCTAGGCTGCATCAACAGAGGGAGAGAATCAAGATCACGCGAAGTGTTAATACCACTTTATAAAGCCTTGGTAAGTCCACACTTGGAATCCTGCATTCAGTTTTGGTCGCCACGATGTAGAAAAGATGTGGAGACTCTGGAAAGAGTGCAGAGAAGAGCAACAAAGAGGATTAGGGGACTGGAGGCTAAAACATATGAAGAACGGTTGTAGGAACTGGGTAGGTCTAGTTTAAGAGAAAGAAGGACTAGGGGAGACATGATAGCAGCCTTCCAATATGTCAGGGGTTGCCCCAAAGAAGAGGGAGTCAAACTATTCTCCAAGGCACCTGAGGGCAGAACAAGAAGCAATGGGTGGAAACTAATCAAGGAGAGAAGCAACTTAGAACTAAGGAGGAATTTCCTGACAGTGAGAACAATTAATCAGTGGAACAGAAGTTGCCTCCAGAAGTTGTGAATTCTCCAACATTGGAAGTTTTTAAGTAGATGTTGGATAGCCATTTGTCTGAAGTGGTGCAGGGTTTCCTGCCTGGGCAGGGGGTTGGACTAGAAGACCTCCAAGGTCCCTTCCAACTCTGCTATTGTATTGTATTGTATTGACCATGATATCCGACTTTCCTGTTGCTAAGCAAGGCAGTCGTCGTGAGTTTTATCCCATTTCCTGACCTTTCTTGCCACAAGAAAGGTCTGTTTCTGTGTTAAGCGAATCGCAGAAGTCGTTAAGGGAGTCACACAGTTGTTAAGTGAATCTGGCTCCCCCATTGCCTTTGCTTATCAGAAGGCCGCAAAACAGGGTCACTCTGCAACCGTCATAAATATGAATGCTGCAATGGTCATAAGTGTGAAAAACAGTCATATGTCATGTCCCAAAGATGCTTTTTTTAGGAGGCAACTGGGCTTTCTTGTTTTTTTCTCAGAAGATGTTTCACTTCTCATCCAAGAAGCTTCTTCAGCTCTGGCTGGATGGTGGGGTATGGAAGGATTTATACTCCTTGCAGACAGCTGGTCATTTGCATCCTTTTGGAGGGTCATTGAGGCCACCTGGAGCTTTACCTGTATCCTCAGGGTCACCTGAGTGGTGATCCTGGTTCCTATGGTTTGAATGTTTCTCTCTGGAAATCTCTATAGACTTTTAGCTATACAATTTGGGATGAAGACCCTTTGAATGGTGTGGGAGTTTGAATGGATTTCCAGAGGGAAAAATTGCAGACTACAGGAACCATTTGCACCACTCAGGTGACCCTGAGGACACAGATAGACCTCCAAGTGGCCTCAACGACCCTTTAAAAGGATGCAAATGACCAGCTTTCTCTGCAAGGAGTTATCAAGCCTTCTCCTCCCCCTCCATCCAGTTAGCACTAAAGAAGCTTCTTAGATGAGAAGCGGATTGCCTTCAAAAGAAAAGCAGGAAAATCCAGTTGCCTCCTGAAAAAAACACCTTTGAGACAACCCTGACCTGGATGACTGAGAATCTCTACAGACTTTCAGTCATATGTCACTTTTTTCAGTCTGTTGTAACTCTGAACGGTCATTAAATGAATGAATGAATGGTTGTAAGTCAAAACCTATCTGTAATGGTTAGCAGCTTCTTGGAGTGGAAGAAGGATCCAGGGGAATTCAAGGACGGTTGGGCTCAATTCACTTGTGTCAACGCAGAGATGCTTTGCTGATTCCTCTTTTGACTCCACCACCACCCCAATTTTTGCCATCTTTCTCCTAATGCCAGCATGCTTTAAAACTTCCCAGTATAGTGGGTAGGGAATTCTGGGAATTGAAACCCACGTGTCTTAAAATTGCCATTTCATTGAGAAACACAGCTGTAAAACCTGAACGGGAGGGAAACTTTTTTCCAAAGAGGCATTCAAATTCACAATATTTTATTACTCTTCCTCATTCTGCACCGAAAGGAAATTTATGGAGAATGAATGCCATCTTGCAATTGATCTGTCCTGGCACATTTCTTCTGTTTGGAAAGGATCCAGGGGTTGGGGATGAAATCTACCAGCAGGACAAAAGACATCTCAGTACCTATTTTTATGTAAGATCTTGAATTATAGGGGTCATCGAAACTGGTTTCCTGTAACTTTTATGAACAGGTCGCAGCACTGATCCTCATTTTCACACCTCTTCCTGGTGAAACTTGTGAATTGACACCTGTTCTTATCCATCCCGAACGAAAATTGGACCTGTAACTCCACAGTTGTCAGGAGCAATCAAGAGTGTCCTGTCATAGGCTTCCCAAGAGCATGGAGCAAACTCCTTCTTCCGACAAAAACCACTTTTAATAATTGACTGCGAATTCTGCTCATTCACATCCAGCAAAGTCTTTCGAGGGAGGATTTACAGTCACAGACCTTATCTGGCTTGGAGAGCTGCCAGGATGATAGCTGCAAAATGTGTCAAGGAGTCTCAGAGAGTCACGAACCAATGAAGTGAACTAATAGTCTCCTGCAAACTCCACTCCCCTTTCGCTCCTCTTTTCTTTCCTCGGGGGGGGGGGGGTTCATCGTCCACCTGTGGCCTTACTCCTAAGTCGACCCCTGTTCTTTAGCTGTTCCCTTCATCTGGCAGCTCTGTGCATGAGCGCAC